GCAGGCAATGTAGCCAAGAAAAATTGTTAGAAGCATAACTGACAATTAAAGGACAAGTGCCCATTTTTTCATGTCCTGGTTCAGAGCGACACAAGTGCTGCAAAGCAATGACAGAGGCCTGGAGGAAGGCATAAAAGTACTAGTCCAGGCTACAGTGACTAAGCAGGAGGCCACTTGGATGCTGCTACAGGTCCAGCAGCAGGTCTCTGTGGAAGCTAACCACTGCTATAAGGAAACTCAGGCACATCAACAGAAGGCCATTCCGGCGCAACTAGAGATAAAGAAGGAGGTCACCCAGGTGCAACTACAGGCTTCCACGGAAGCCAACCACCACTGAGAGGAGATATGTCCCTAGCAGCCCAATGTAAAAGTGGGCTAGCCATTTCATACAGAAAACTTGCTACCCATGATGAAATCGAGGCCTTCCTGACCTAGTTTGGACACATGGCTGCTGAGAGAGAGGCCTCAGGACCAGTGGGCTAGCCTTATTGCCTGTTCCAAGCAGGGGAAACACAGAAGGCCTACTATGACCTGCTGATGGCTAAAGCAAAAGACTATGAAAACTTAAAGGGAAGATCTTAGCCCACCAGCTGTTTAGCCACACCAGATGCATAGCTGAAGATCATGTTTTCTAGTCACCATAGTCCAAATGCATGACCTGTTGCAACTGACTACAGAGTGGTTACAGCCAGGGAAGCTGACGGAACCACAAATCAGGGAATGGGTCATCAAGGACCATTACCCGCGGGCGCCACCTAATGAACTGCATCGTTAAGTAATCCACAGAGAACCCCAGACAATAGAACTACTGGTGGAGATGGTGAAGCGCTACAGTGTGGTCAAAGATCTGCTTGGCATGCCAAGTCTCATGGGCCCCTGTCAAGATGGAAAGCAAAGCTATCTGGAAACCTGGGAACCATGACTCAGGAGAGTAAGGTAGTGACCACCCCAGTGTCTCAAAATTCTGCTCTGATCAAAGGAATGAGAACGTGATATACTGGGGTGTCAAACCTGGGGCCATGTTCAAACTTAATGTCCTCTGCAGGAGGAAGCCATGGAATGTGAAACTACAAGGAGGGTGTCCTATGCCCAAAGACTCTGTGCTGCCCATCTGGATCTGACTGAGGGGTGGTTTGAGTGTGACATCTGGGAAAACCAACTTCATGCTGCGTACTACTGGACTCAGGTAGTATGGTAACCCTTGTTAGCTGGGAGAGTTGGCTCTTAACAATAAAAGACCCTCAAAGTAGTGCTGGGTGATGCTGAACTGCCAAGCAGGTTCACTGTGCTGGACGGTAGAGCCATGGTCTGGTCTTGGAAGGGAAAAAAGACAAGCTCCTCTCTGTCAGCCTCCAAGTCTCTGCACCAAGAGATAGAACACAGCTGATGGGAAATATACTGTATCTGCCCCCCCCCCCCCCCCAGGATGCTGTTCGGTTTTCCTCCCATCTGGTAAATGCAGTTTTGGCAATGCTGAAAAATACAGTGTCTCCAGGCAGTGGGACTACAGGTCCTGAGATCCCCTGCTTCTCAGATACACTTCTCATTCTGTCAGCAGGAAATGATATGTTAACTCTGCACTGAACACTAGAAAAGAAAAGGAATCTCAGTCTACGCAGCAGATGTCCCTGAATTGCAGAATGACTCAGTCCTGCACTTCTTTGGAAAACGCAGCCCGCACGGGAACCTTGGTTCCCAGTACAGTTTCGTTTTCCAGTGCGGGTGGCGTGCCATTAGAACTAATGGCACCAGCCCGCGGGTCCGCATTTCTCTGTGTGGCTGCACGGATTTTCGTGCGGATCCGCAGCGGCACCACCCGCACAGATGTGAACCTAGGGTTAGACAACACAGGCTGTTTTGTCATCTCATTTTCTGCTACTCCAGGTACTGGCTCTATAAATGGCAGTTTCTTGCTATAAGTTCTTACATCTTGCACAATATGTGATCTGGTGGAAGGTAGCAGGAGTAAAGCTTCCTGGAGTGAGCAACCCATTTAGGAAGAGAGACCAGACCAATGATGTCTTGGTAAAGCAGTGATGCATTTATTTGTGGTATTTGCAGTTTTTTACAGGTGCTGCACAGTGCTCCAAAAGGAATAGTTGAAAAAAATTAAAAACAAAAACCTAGGTGTGTCCTAGCCGTAACTACACAACAGCAGTCCTAGCTAACAGGATGCACAAGCCTACACTCGTCAGCTCCAAAATACATTGCTTTTCCAAAAATCACAAACCTTAACTCTCCAGGATACAGAACTCTAACTTTGCTGCATTTTTGCTGCGTTTTGATGCATTTTGCGCTTAAAATCTGCCTAGCAACAAGAAAAATGTAAAAAAAAAAAATGCAAAACGCATCAAAAACACATAAAAAATGCAAGTGCAAAAATGCATAAGGCAATTCAGAAATGCATCAAACGCAACCTGCATAGGTGTGAATCTAGATTTAGGTGGACCCAAATTGCCTGACAGGGAAAGGTACAAAACCTGGAGTCGATTAAATGATTAGATGATCAGAGGCCTTGAAAGGCCTAGCTTTACGATTGAGGGGGGTGGTAAAAATAGGCAGATAAACTGCCTTTTTAATCCCCATCAAGTCAAAAAGGCAACCCTATAGGAATATACTCATGGCTCTGCAAAAATGATCTCCCCTGTTGCATTCAGCAGGTATTAACACTGCTAAGAGCAACTTATTTAAAGAAAAAGTTCACCTTTTTGAGCCTCCCACCAAAAAAACAGGCATTCAGAAGACAGCAGTTTTTACTCCCGAAACACCTCTCAGCTGCCCCCTTCCCAATCTGTGAAAAACGATCCACTGCAGATCGCTTTTCACAGACAATGCAAATTTAAACATGTCCCAAGGAAGAAGCCTGGGAGATACAGTATGTAAATCCCACACAGGACCTTTTCATGTTCCCTGGGAGAAATACAGCTATAGAATCCATAACCATCTACCTTAGACAGCGTTTTGTTATATCTGTTCAATAAGTGCAAAATATTTATTGAGTCTGCCAGAAATCTAGTGAGCTGATGAATTCTTGTGCTGTCTGTACCCAAGGAAATATAATGGCATATACTATGGAGGCCAGTGGGCATAACAGCTGAAGATGATGATTGCTCAGAGAAAAATTATATTTATTAAGATGGATAATTTCATGACTAAATTGCCTAGCCATCTAATAACTTATTATAAGCATTACACCATATATTATGTAAGCTGATAAATATTACTAGACATGTACAATACATTTTGTTTTGATTCGTTCTTCAGATGAAAATTTAATTTTCCAAGATTCGGATGTATCCGAATCTCTGAATGGATACAGAAATGAATGGCAATGAATCTGAAAAAAAAAGTTATAACAAAATTAACAAATGCATTTGTTTCATTCAGATGATGTCACATTTGGATTCAAATAATGAATGGATTCGAATTTCTTTCTATTCATTAATTTGGATGTACATGGCGCCAGTCAATATTGTCCACACTCAGCTTTCGCCATTTCTCTTGATGGGTTGGACTAGCATCCAAAAACATAGAATCCTTCCAATTTGATACTATATCGATTAAATACATCGGAAAAACTGAAAAATGTTTAGAATCCACTCGGACCAATGAATTTACGAAATTAATACCTAACATATAAAGGAATTCCAAAAACAAATCAAGTATGTATTGCATCAATCATAGTGGGAATCATGATAAGGAAGGCTAGCATTGTACATGAAATGGCACATGTAGCAGCAGAGCTTTGTTATATTTTATAAGAGGCATGGCAAGTTTTTTGCAGTTGCCATTTTGTCACTTTTTTGAAAAATTAAGAAATTAAAAAAAAATTGTTCTTTGTACAATTTTTTTTAACATACTGTCACCAGTGCAGTACAGCGTCATCATATGACTGGTGTGGTGGTGATCAGGGACACTGACTGGTAATAGTACGTAAAAAAAACCATATTTGCTTCAGTTTTTTAAAATATTTTTCTCTTTCTAAATAATTTTTTTTTCTCTATTTGTTTTTTTTATATATATTGTGACCAGAGCAATACAGTGTTACCGTAGTAACATTGTACTACTCTGGGGAGGTAATCAGGATTTTCTTTTTTTTTTTTTTTTTTTTTTAAACATTATGATCGCTTATAACAGTGATACTCACTGTTACAAATGATCATTTTTAAAAAAAATTAAATCTATTCATTCTGTGTTTACTATTGTAATTAGCTGCGATTGGCCCAGCTAATCACGTGGTACAGACGGACTGTGATTGGTCCTCTCTGTAACCCGTGATCACTCATATGACATCCACCCAGATCTTAAGTGTTCCCGGCTGACCGTCATTTGATTGTAAGCCGGACGGGAATTGGTTAAAGCTGGTACCAAGTTCACGGCTGCAACAGCATTTGAGCTTGATTTAACCACTTGTCTACCATGCCCTTTGTAAATGTACCATGGTTTAAATGGATAAAACATGGGGAAATGTGATGTATTGAAGAGATGTACTATATGTAATTTTTTATTCTGATATGCACTTTAATACATACATGTAGCTTTAAAGACATTGAAGGAATGATAACAATGTTTAAGTGAACACAAATTCATTGGACTAAATAATTGAAATTACATTTAGTAAATCAGCCCCATGAGTCCTAATACAGATCAATTTTTGATAACAGATATACTTGCCTATGTTAAATAGTATTACTTGTGTAGCACTTAGGAGTTGCTGAATTTAGGGTCACCCTAAAGCTCTGCACAGCCAGGCAACACAACATTTTCTTCCACACTGGAGACAGTAAACAGTCCTTGAGCTTGGTTTTGTTGTTTTTAATAAAGGGGTTAATAACTTAGATGGGGTTGAGAGGTGTATGGGATGGCCAAGGAACTGCGAACTTGAGAACAAACTCCTTAGCAACTAAACTATATTGCCAAACATATTGGGACACCCCTCCAAATCATTGGATTCAGGTGTTCCAATCACCTCCATGGCCACAGGTGTATAAAATCAAGCCCTAGGCATTCAGACTGCTTCTACAAACATTTGTGAAAGAATGGGTTGCTCTCAGGAGCTCAGTGAATTCAAGGGTACCGTGATAGGTTGCCACTTGTACAATAAGTCCATCCATGAAATTTCCTTGCTACTAAATATTCCACACTCAACTGTAAGCCACATAAAATGACAGAGTGTGGTCAGCGCATGTTGAAGCGCACAGTGTGCAGAAGTTGCCAACTGTCTGCAGAGTCAATAGCTAAAGACCTCCAAACTTCATGTGGCCTTCAGTTTAACATAACAGTGCGTACAGAGCATCATGGAATAGGTTTTCATGGTCGAGCAGCTGCATCCAAGCCTCACATCACCAAGTAAAATGCAAAGCGTGGGATGCAGTGATTTTAAAGCATGCTGCCACTGGACTCTAGAGCAGTGGAGATGTGTTCTCTGGAGTGATGAATCATGCTTCTCTGTCTGGCAATCCGAAGGACGTGTTTGGGTTTGGCGGTTGCCAGAAGAATAGTACTTGCCTGACTGCATTTTGCCAAGTGTAAAGTTTGGTAGAGGGGAGATTATAGTGTGGGGTTGTTTTTTAAGGGTTGGGCTTGGCCCCTTAGTTCCAGTGAAGGAAACTCTTAAGGCGCCAGCATACCAAGACATTTTGGACAATTTCATGCTCCCAATTTTGTGAGAACAGTTTTGGGATGGCCCCTTTCTGTTCCAACACGACTGCACACCAGTGTATAAAGCAAGGTCCATAAAGACATGGATGAATGAGTTTGGGGTGGAGGAACTTGACAGGCCTGCACAGAGTCCTGACCTCAACCCAATAGAACACCTTTGGGGTGAATTAGAGTGGAGACTGTGAGCCAGGCCTTCATGTCCGACATCAGTGCCGGAGCTCACAAATGCACTTCTGCAAGAATGGTCAAACACCCCATAGATACACTCCTAAACCTTGTGGACAGCCTTCCCAGAAGAGTTGAAGCTGTTATGGCTGCAAAGGGCGGGCCAACTCAATATTGAACCCTAAGGACTAAGACTGGGATGCTATTATAGTTCATGTGCTTGTAAAGACAGGCATCCAAATACCTTTGGGCAGTATAGTGTATGTATAGATGTGGACAAAAATAGTTTCTCGTTTAAGAGCTCTCCAGCTCTCTGATGTACCTCTTCAGACCCCAGATGAATCCTCCTCTTCACCCAGATGCACTGAGGGTATTCCCTGAGCAAGGGGGCCCAGAAGCTGATAATTTAACACAGCAGCTCTGGATGAGAAGCTAGTTGGGTTTCTCTCCTGACTGCCCTCTCCCCTTATGCAGCCCAGGGGGTGTAAGAGTATTCACACTGTCCTATTTATTATTTAATACAGGTACTTATATAGCACAATCAATGTCCATAGATATATATATATATATTATATATATATATATATAGTGTACATTCACATTAGTCCCTAATCCTCAAGGAGCGTACAATCTAGTAAAGTTTCTTAACCCCGCATATTGTATGCTGGAATTCACCCACTGCACATAGCTCCAGTACGCACAGTATGCCAAGGGGTCCCAGAAAACAGTCCCTCCAGCCCTTATTGCATGGAAAGAGTAGCTAGTATAATTCATGGCCAGCCAAGTACCCAGGGAAGTGATATAACCCTCTTGGTTATATATATCCAAGATGGCGACCGGTCGCCTACATTGCCACCCACCTCCACCGGCACCAGCCACCGCCGCCAGCCGCAAGGGATCCCCCCTGACCCTCCGTGCTTCTGGAGGGGGAGTGAGCCCCCACCCGCTGCAGCCCGGAGCTCAGCCGCAGCATCTGGCCAGCCGGGGCAGGGCCTCCCACACGGCCTACGATACTGCAATTTGCCGGGCAGACTGCAGCCACCGGGATCCTCCCGACCCTCCGTGCTCCTGGAGGGGGGAGCGGTGCCTCCGTAGCCCCCACCGCGCAGCCCGGTGCTCTGTCACTACAGCGCCCGGCCAGGCGGGGCAGGGCCTCCCGCGCGGCCTAGGACACCATAAGCCTCCGGGCCCTGGTCACCACTGGCCTAGCACAAAACCACCACCGCCCACACAGCAGAAGGGAGGAGGCCACCATAAGGCCCCACAAGCCTTCCTGGGCCTCCAACAGTCCACCGCAGCACCAGACCCATCAGTGCTCGCCGGCCTACACTCTTAAAGCACGTGGCCTACAGCGCACAATCCGGCCGCCCACCGGTCTCCTGCCTCCCCAATTGACAGAGGGACCAGAAGTGAGCCTACTTCCACGTCGCCGAATCCAGCAGACGACCCCAGCCTGGTGAGGCCTACCATCGCCCTCCACGTCGCAACCCTGCCCGGACCTGCTGAGCCCAACGGACGATCTCGACCTGGTGAGGCCTACCATCACCTACCCCGGCACAACCCTGCCCTGACCCCAAGCCCATCCGATGACCCCCGGAAACACCTCCACTTCTGACATCCACCCCGCATCTCCTCAAGCCCAATGGATGATCTCGACCTGGTGAGGTCTACTATTGCCTACCCCGGCACAACCCAGTCCTGACCCGTAGAACATCGGACGTCCACCCCGCATCTCCTCAAGCCCAACGGATGATCTCGACCTGGCGAGGCCTACCATCGCCTACCCCGGCGCAACCCTGCCCTGACCCAAAGCCCATCCGACGACCCCTGGAAATACTTCCACTGCTGACGTGCGCCCCGCATCTCCTCAAGCCAAACCTCACCCCTCCACCTGGGTCTGACACAAACTGGAACTTGCAACTTGACTACCCTTGACCACAACTGGCCGAACTGAACTCTACCCATCCTGATCCTAAGCACGAGAACTTTTGTCACGGAAAGGTACAACTACGAGATACGCCACTGCACGCCGACTATCTACAACCAAGTGCCCTGAGAGACTTTCCACCTCACTTGTCCGCCACTTCGTTTACTTCTCTAAAATGCCACCTGTACTCCTCCTCATACTCTTCTCCTCCGTCCCCAAAATCTCTTCTCTCTATCCCCCAGCTCCTCCCAAACAACTATACATCACACCCTCACTGCTTCCATCTCCCCTCTATGGCTCTCACCACCTCCTCCTGTTACTCCACTCTCCCACTGACCCGAACGCCACCAATGGTAGAATCACACGCTCTTGTACATCCCGCTCCCATGCCACCTTTCTTTCCCTTCTTCTCCTCCTAACCGCGGGGGACATCTCCCCAAACCCTGGTCCTCCTCCACCCCACTCACCCACAAGGCACCCACCTACTTCCACGAACTGCCGCAACCCCATCAACCTAATACCGGTCCCACTGCTCCCCAAAACCACCCCTCCGTTTTCGTGTGCACTCCTGAACACCCGTTCGGTTTGCAACAAACGTACCGCCATCCACGACCTCTTTGTCTCCAGCTCCCTCAACCTCCTGGCGATCACCGAAACCTGGATCAAAACCACCGACTCTACCTCCCCTGCAGCACTCTCCTATGGAGATCTCACATGGACCCACTCACCCAGACACAGCGGTCGAAAAGGTGGTGGGGTTGGTATGCTCCTGTCACCGCAGAGCACCTCCAAGTCCTCCCAAACCCTCCCTCTTTATCCTTCTCCTTCTTTGAGGCCCACTGCATCCGACTATTCTCTCCAATCCCCCTGAGGATCACAGTAATCTATCGGCCCCGTGGACCCGTATCCCGCTTCCTCAACGATTCTCCGCCTGGTTACCCTTCTTTCTCTCCTCCGCGCTGCCCACCATCATCCTTGGAGATTTCAACATCCATACCAACATCAATAGCCCGGCCACATCCCAACTCCTCCACCTAACCTCTTCTTTTGCACTCGCACAGTGCATACAGTCCTCCACCCACTCTGACGGGAACACCCGGGAACACCCTGGACCTTGTTTTCTCTCATCTCTGCACCCCCCACAACCTCACAAACACCCCTTTTCCCCTCTCTGACCACAACCTCATCACCTTCTCCATCTCCTCGTCCTCTTACATCTACCCCTCCAAACGTCAAACCATCACCAGCCGTAACCTCCGCAACCTGAACCCTGCCCCCTTCCACTCTGCAGCTGACCAACTTTATGACAGTATCCTTCTCCTGTCCTGCCCTAACCTGGCCACTACTGTCTATAACAACTCGCACCTCCACCCAGTACCTCACTCACCGCCCACGATTGCTAACCACTTCCAAAGCAAGATCGACGCAATTCGCAGGGACAACACCACTGCTCAGACTTCCGCCCCACCTAGCATCCCTCACACGAAAACTCCCTCAACACTCCTCGCCTTCGACCTCACCACTGTCCAGACCTCCACCCCGCCCAACATTCCTGACACTAAAATCCCCTCAACACTCCACTCCTTCGACCCTGCTACCACTGAAGAGGTCACTAAGGTCTTCTCTGAAGCTCGCCTTACCACCTGCCCTCTTGACCCTGTCCCCACACAACTCCTATAATCACCCTCCTCCTCCATCCTACGTTCCTCACTCACATCTTTAATCTCTCCCTCTCTACTGGCACATTCCCCTCCCCTCTGAAGCACGCACACATCACTCCCATACTTAAAAAACCCTCCCTGGATCCCACCGACCTAAACAACCTTAGACCCATCTCCTTGCTGCCATTTGCATCCAAACTCCTTGAGCGCTTAGCCTATAATCGTCTAAGCTCCCACTTCACCGACAACAACCTCCTTGATCCCCTACAATCTGGCTTCCGTCCCCTACACTCCACTGAAACCGTCCTACTCAAACTCACCAACGACCTGCTAACCGCCAAAGCCTATGGCCACTACTCAGTGCTACTACTCCTCGACCCCTTTGCGGCTTTCGATGCGGTTGACCACCCCCTCCTCCTCAAAAAACTATACTCTTTTGGCATCAGAGACTCCGCTCTCTCCTGGCTCTATTCCTATCTATCTCAGCACTCCTTCAGTGTTACCTATAATGCTGCCACCTCCCCCTCACACTCCCCCTCTCTGTTGGGGTCCCGCAAAGTTCTGTCCTCGGGTCCCTTCTCTTCTCCATCTACACCTCCTCCCTTGGCCAACTGATACACTCCTATGGCTTCAACTACCATCTCTATGCCGATGACACTCAAATCTATCTCTCTATCCCTCGCCTCACTCCTTCAGTCTCCGCCCGAATCACTAGCCTTCTGAACGACATATCAGACTGGATGTCATCCCCACTTCCTCAAATTAAACCTTGCCAAAAACCGAGCTCCTAATTTTCCCCCCAGCCCGCCCCCCCCGATTTCTCCATCATGACCAACAACGCCACCATCAGCCCCACCCCGCAAGCCAGAGTACTAGGTGTAATTCTAAACTCCAATCTGTCTTTCCAGCCCCAGATACAATCGCTGACAAATTCATGCGGACTCCATCTCCGTAACATCTCCAAAATACGCACGTTCCTTACTCCAGAAACTAAAAAGCAACTCATTCACTCCCTTATCATATCACGACTTGACTACTGCAACTCCCTCCTCGCTGGCCTACCCCAACACAGGCTATCCTGCTTCAGTCTATCCTGAATTCTGCGGCCAGACTCATCC